CTTTCCTTTGTGATGGTATGTAGACGCGACAGATTTTTTCAGAATCTCCGTATCCGCAGAATTGTCCCGTTATTGCCCTTGCATCCAGTTTTGTTCCAGCTGGTCGTACTTCGACAGGTATGTGTATGAACATGGTTTCACCGAAGGATCGGAGGTGCCCAATGAAGGGTTTTTTGCCGGTGAGTGCTTCGTATGGTGTCATATTCGGGAGTGATTTGTGCGGGAGGCGGTTCTTAACGTGTACCATGGTGTTGATCGCTTCTGCCCATAGATTTTTTGGGAGGTTGTGGTCGAGCAAGGCGGATCGTGCCATTGTTGCTATGGTCCTGTTAAAGCGTTCTGCTGTTCCATTTGACTCGTGAGAGTAAGGTACAGTGAATTCATGCTTTATGCCTTTGGAGGCAAAAAATTGTTGAAGGTCATTGGAGATGTACTCGCCACCATTGTCGCTTCGAAACCGTTTAACCGTTTTGTCCAATTGATTTTCCATGTATGCGATGTATCGTTCTGTGGCAGCTGCTGCATCTGACTTCTTTTTGAGGAAGTAGAGGTGAGCGTACCTGGAGTAATCGTCGATGAAAGTGATATAGTAATTGAAACCGCCCAGAGAAGGAGTCGAGAACTTGCCGCTCAGATCTGAGTGTATTAGTTCCAGTGGTTGTTTGGATTGTGGTTCGGTGAGAGGAGCGAGGTGAGATTTGGTTGACTTAGCGAGTTCACATGTGTTGCATGTTTCCATGTGACCAGATGTGGGGAGAGACTTGGGGTCGGCGACCATGTTGCGAAGCCGTGAGAGCGAGGAAGCGGGGAGATGTCCGAGCCGTTGGTGCCAGTCATAGAAGCTGGTGGCGGCAGAGAGGTGTGCGCAGGGTTCCTTGGTTTCAAAAATGTAAAGACCAGTACTATTTGCGTTAGCGATCCCGATAATTTCCTTGCTGTTCGGTTTGTAGATGGTAAAGCCGTCTTCCGTCCCAGTTGTTGTAAATCCCTTTTTAGCGATGCAAGACCAAGACATCAGGTTGGTATTGCCTAGTTCGGGGATCAAAAATACGTTCTGCAGAGTGATCAGGCCATGTGATCCGTTGATGGTGACGTTACCAATTCCGGTTATCTGGAGTTTGCGACCTCCTCCAACAGTAACTGTTCCAGTGTGGGGAGTGGGGTCGGTAACCAGCGTTCCGGTCATGTGGTTGGTTGCACCAGGGTCGAAGATCCATGCCTTGTTGTCGGTGGTGGAAGGTCCTGCAATGAAGCCAAAGTAGTCTTCCATGGTAATATCCGAGGTGTCATCTGAGAAGTTGGTGAGGTCGAAGTCAACCGGCATTGTGAATACATCGGTTTCTTCGAGTGCGGGAAGGCCAGAAAGATCGGGGATCCAAGAGAGGTCGAGTTTTGTGTGAAATGCAGTACCAGATGCGACGTTGAGGTTGCCAGATGCAGCGGACTTCTCCTTGTCTCTGAAAGCTTTGAGTTTCCGGCAATTTTTGTGCGTGTGGCCTTTTGCATATTCTCCATTCTTGGTGCACCAGGTGCATGTGACGTCCCGATTTCCTGTTTCGTTGTTACGTGGCCTCCTGACTCTGTTGTTGTTTCCGTGTCCTGGGTTTCCTCGCCTGATTGTGTAGGCTTCTCCAGCCGCCTGTCCATCGTTGTTGCGCCGTGAGTCCAGATCCAACAGCTTTTCGTAGACGTCATCGAAGGTGACGTTGGGCTTGGTTTGCAGGTTGTCAACGACTGATTCGAGGGATTCGTGCCGGAGTGAGAGGAGTAGGAAGGATGCCTTCGCTTCTGAGACAGATGCGAGTTGGTGAAGGTGGTAACCGAGTGGGTCTTTGGTTTTGTCCGTAGAGTTACTAGTTCTAGTGAGGAGAGATGACCAAAGAGTGTTGAACTGGGTTAGATGTTCCTTGATACCCTTGTCGGGTGTGTACTGTAATGTGACGACATTGGCGAGGAGCGAGTGGAGGGAGGCGACGGTTTTCCGATCGAATCTGTCCTCGAGTTGAGTCCAGAGATGATGAGCGGTGTCGGCCGGTGTCAGCGTGAGAATAACTTCGAATTCGATCTTAGATTGAAGGAATACAACTGCAAGGTTGTCCTTTTTGTCCCAGTCGCTGATTTCTTCGGCATTGTCGGAGTTTTCTTCTTCGTCTTCTTCAGCCTCAGCTGCACTTCCTGATGCTTGTGGTGCCGTGGTAGGTACAGTAGTGGTGGTAGTTGTCAACACGGGACGCTTGCTCGAACCATTGACCAAGTTCCACAGATCGTGAACTTTCAACATGCGGGTAGCAAGGTCCCTCCATACAGTGTAATGGCCTTGACCATCCAGCTTGCATGGGAGTGCGGGAATTTTGATGCTCCTCTCAGACATGATTGAAAGTGAAACGAGAAAGTGTACTTTGTGGTAAAAATGGTGAAGAGTGTATAAGCGTGAGTGGTCTCCGGGCTCATAACCTAGAGAAAGTATATGGGAGAAGTAAAGTAATTGATCGTGTTGATTGTGCTAGCTAAAGGGGGATGCCCCGTATTTATACTAAAGAAAGGTAGTACAAAAGAAATACAATGAGTCATAGACGTGTGAGTAATAGAATGACTAATAGGAAAGTGAGTCATACGCCGATGACAAATACTATAATGAAATGATGAGAATCTTCCAGAACTATGAAACGTGCCGAGCGTCCTATTTCAAGACAATCAAACAATGAAAAGCGACGATCAACACCTATGGAAGAAGGCAATACAGACAGAGAAAGACGCCCTCGACAAGGCCCACACCTGGGACATTGTCGACAGACCACCCAACCGAGCAGTAGTCAGAGGAAAATGGGTATTTAAGGTAAAACACAACGCGGATGGAACAATCGAAAGATACAAAGCAAGATATGTCGCCAAAGGGTTCACCCAAGTACAGTATCAAGACTATGATGAGACCTTCGCCCCCGTTGCCCGATACGATTCCCTACGACTCCTACTTGCACTAGCTGCACACAACGGTTGGACACCACAACAAATGGACGTCAAGTCAGCCTTCCTATATGGTATACTTAAGGAGGAAATCTACATGGAACTACCTGAAGGCTACAGGCAGGACCACAAGGTTTGTAAACTTCGAAAATGCATATATGGACTAAAACAATAACCCCGTGAATGGTACGCTTGCCTAGCAGACTCCCTTCAACGGAAAGGATTTGTCCCAGCTAAATTCGACCCATGTGTCTTCATACATAAGAAACACCAACTATACATATCGGTGTATGTTGACGACATCATGATATTCGGACCCGACTCCCCATTCAGAAACGAAATCAGACAACTACTTAAGGCAGATTTCGAATGTACGGATCTCGGTAATGCGAAATTCCTACTGGGAATAGAAATAACGGTAACAAGGAACGGTATCACGTTGTCACAACTAGCATACATAAACAAAATCCTAGACAAATTTGGAATGAATAACTGCAAACCAGTTGGCACACCACTCGAACCAAATCTGAGTCTTCGTAAAGGAGAACCAGAAGACCAAATCGAGAAACCAACTGAGTATCAATCCATAATTGGATCACTCATGTACGCCAGCATAGCAACCAGACCTGATATCACCCATACCGTTACCGCCCTCTCTCAGTACTCCTCATGCCCAACTGAGGACCACCTACGAGCAGCCAAACGAACTCTCCGATACCTCAACGGAACGAAAGACTGGAACCTGTTCTACCCGAAAGGAAACACTAGAACACTCGATGGTTTCTCAGACAGTTCCTACGCTTCAGACCTAGATGACAGTAAATCGTTCTCAGGATACGTGTTCAGACTAGGAAAATCAGACATAAGCTGGAGAAGCCGGAAGCAGAAATCAGTCGCAGTCTCAACAACAGAAGCCGAATACATGGCTCTGTCCCTAACAGCTCGACAACTGGTATGGATTCGCAACGCCTTATGCGAACTCCAACAACAATACCAATACAACATCCACGCCGACAACACAGGGTCTATCGAACTATGTCGGAATCCACGTATCCACGACCGGTCCAAACACATCGACGTTCACTATCACTACACACGTGAACAACTCGAAGCCGAAACCTTCAAACTCCTCTATGTCCCAACCGAAGACAATGTTGCAGACATAATGACCAAAGGACTACCGAAACCAGCTCACCAAAAATTGTCAGAATTGATACGATGTGGCAAGTGAGGGGAAGTGTAGAAATAGGGCATTGCGACATTGGTTATGTATGGAATTACTCATGTATAAGGGATGACTCATAGAAGGAACAGGGTTTCAGACAAGGCTTAGTGTCAGGGATTATGTAATCAGGAGATCACGTGGTATTAGAATATCTGTATATATAGAGCGCTCAAACGCCCACATTGTCGCTGGAACTTCAGCGGCGCAATAGTATCTTCTTCGCACTACAAAACACTTCCTCCCTCAAGGTCACGTGTTCAAACCACACTCAAGTCATTTTCTCCCACACTCCAAACTTCAGAATGCAGTAGTTATAATATCGGAACAGCCCTAACACCATGACCCCGATCCTCCCCTCGTCGCTCACTCACTATATGTACAGTATGTAGGGTGGTCAACCGCGCCGCATCGGAGCTTGCAGCTCTTATCGATAAAGAGCAGGTAGGTAGCGATCTATAAATAGCATTCACTACCACCTGCCTGTAAGCGCGCGTCTTGCACACCAGCACTCGCTAGGTAGTGGTCTGGACTGTGTGCCTGATTAAGACCTCGTCCCGTCGCCGCGCCGCAGACGGGTGTTTCAGAGGTGCGCTAGATGCATATGGAGTGGTGGTATGGGGGTGCGTCTAGTTTCGGCTACTACTCTAGAGTATGCGCACCCGCCAGCTAGCGGTCCGCTGGATATAAGTAACCGCGCTCCCTCCCTCCAACACCACCACTGTCTCTAGATCTCCTCACATCCTCACAGTCCTCCCTCTCACCGCTTTCCCCGCGTGCAGTGCACGCCGTCTTACCTTCTCTTAATAATATAATGCCACTCTTCACGCGCCCAACCACAAACTGGCGCCCCCTCCCACTAACGCCCTTCTTCCTGGCGCCCTTCGCGCTGCTCTGTCTCCTCCTCGTCCTCCTCCTCGAAGTGACACTGCGCGCCTGCCTCCCCGACGGCTGTCCTGCCTTTGGCGCTCCTTCCTCCAACACCACCTCCGACCTCTCCACATACGCCCAAGGATACTCGGCGGCGACGACGTCGTTCGTGTACAACTACCTCCCCACGATCGTGACAGTGTCCTTCGGGCTGCTGTGCGCGCTGGTGCACCATGACGCGATGCGCATGGAGCCGTGGTTCCAGATGAGCCTTGCTGAGGGCGCGGTGGCGGAGGAGAGCCTGTTGCTGGCGTACTCGTATATGATGCCGCCGTCTGTGCCTGTTGCTGCTTGGAAGAACCGGTATGTTTCCTCCCTTCTGCCCTCCCCCTCTCCACCGCCCGACTAACACCCCTTGTAGGCACTGGACCGTCTTCACCGCCTCCCTCCTCGTCCTCCTCTCCACCACGCTGCTGACGCCCCTCACCGCCGGCCTCTTCGACACCACGGCCCTCACCTTCACCTCCACCAGCCCGACCACCCACCGCCTCCTCCGCTGGACCTACCACCCCGGCGAAGACCTCGACGACGCCAGCCGCAGCAACGCCACCATCGGCGGGTACTCCAGCCGCCACGAATACCTTGCCTACACGCACGGCTGGCTCAACGGCTCCCTCCCGCCATTCACCACGGCCACCTACGCCCTCAGCCCGTGGGCCGCCGCCGAGTCGCTCCTCTCCGCCAACTCCACCACCACCCCCTCACAGGAGGAACAACACTGGACCGGCGACACAACCCTCTACGAAGCCGACCTCCACTGCACCGAAGCCACCCGCACCCCGCTGGAGGTCCCCGGCGTCGGCCTCATCGGCTACAACCTCACCTCCCCCTCCGCCCCCTACCTCAGCTACCCCCTCTGGGACCCGGGCCTCGCCAACGCCACCGACTACGACCTCATGGGCACCATCAGCGCCTCCATCCCCGCCTTCGATTCCTGGAGCTACTACAAAGACCGCCCCCGCTTCCAGACCGGCGCCGACTGGTACGTCCTCGCCGACCTCCCCGCATCGCTGGCAGACCCGCGCACATACACCGACGCGCAGCGCAGCGTCCGGCTGACAACAGCCGTGTACGTCGTCGCCGAGGCGCCGGCGCCGATATCGCCCGGGTGGGACGTGAAGGTCGTGGAGACGCCCGGAAAGAGTCTGCTGCCCCCGCGGTGGACGGCCGTGTTTTGTTCACCGGCGTACTACGCGCAGCGCGTGCACGCCGTCGTGGCCATGCCGAGCGGGCGGGTGGTGAGTGTCACCCGCGTTGGCACGCGCGAGGAGATCCCCAGCGCGAACGACACCTCCGTCCTCGGGGACCTTCTGTGGAACCTCAACAGCGGGCTGATCCGGAGCACGCAGGATGATCCTCGGTACTACGACCGCAACGGGAAGCAGATCGGTCTCGGGCAAGTTCCGCAGGACCCCGCCGACAGCGGGAGCCACCTTGTCCGGCGGTTCGGGGGCACAGAGGGGATGATGCGTGTCCAGGCCAAGAACGAGGATGTGGTGCAGAACGGGTTTCCGGCGTTTGCGCTGAATGGTGTTAGGAATGAGACGGTGGAGGGGCTGCTGGAGTGGGAGCGGCTGGCGGGGGTGTATAGGGATGCGCTGAGGTTGACGTTTGCGATGTTGTGCACGGATGAGTGGGTGAGGGGGAGGACGGAGGAGAATGCGACGGTGGTGGTGGAGAGGAGGAGCGGTGTGGTGCGCGGGTATGCGGTGAGTGAGGGGTGGGCGAGAGGGCTGCAGGGGGTGTTGAGTGTGTTGGCGGTGTTGGCGGGCGGGCTGGCGGTGGCGGTGATGAGGAGGCGGACGGAGTTGGATGGGGAGCCGGGGAGTCTCGGGGCGGCGTTGGGCGTGATGGAGAGGAGTGAGGAGTTGAGGAAGATGTTGAGCGGGGTGGAGCTGCATCCGATGGCGACGGTGAAGAGGATGCTGAGGATTTCAGGGAGGAGGTATAAACTGGTGTTGGAGGAGGGCGTGGGGCCGCGGGTGGAGGTGCTGGAGGCGGGCGGGGTGGGCGAGGGCGTGCTGGTGAAGCTCGAGGATCAGGAGGTGGACGAGAGAGAGTATCGCGAGAAGGACGTGTGGCCGGTCAGTAGAGGGTCAGCAATAACCTTCATCACCTTCTTCACCGTGATGCTGGCGCTCGTCGTGGTGGTGTGCGTACTCGTGGGCGTGGACTATGGTGAGTGAAACTACTCCTAAATCCCAGTACTTGCAGTCAAAGATCAATATACTAACCCCCCACACAGGCATCCCCACCCCCTCCCCGCCAACATCAATCCCCTACAAGATCCTCTTCACCTACATCCCCACCCTCCTCGCCCTCCTCATCGAGCCCCTCCTCGTCTCCCTCGGCAGCCATCTCTGCATGCTTGCTCCCTACACGCCGCTCCTGCGCGGCCCCACCCGCGCCTCTCACTCCCTCTCGCTCGACCTCGACAAGTCGCCCCCGCACTTCCAGCTGCTGCGCGCCCTGCGTGCAAAGCACTGGCTCATTGCGGCCCTCAGCGCCGCAATCCTTCTCAGCAACGTCCTCGCCGTTGCGCTCTCCGCGCTGTTCACACCCGATGCAAGAGTCGTCACGCAGGACGTGACACTGCAAGCGCCGACCTCCGCCGCGCTGAAGGGCGGCTTCAGGGGCATCAAGCTGCTCGAGAGCCACTACACACTATACGGAACTCTCTCATCGTCCATCGCCGCGCCAAACTGGACCGCAGCCGACGCCTACATCCTCCCCTTCCACCTCCCCCCCTCTTCTTCCTCCACCACCTTCAGCACCCTCACCTCCCGCACCCTCTCCCTCAGCAGCGCAATCACCTGCACCCCCCTCCCCACCTCCCTCATCACAACCACCTGCTACCCCACGGGCACCAACGGCTCCGCCCTCGGCCCCTGCCTCACCTCCTTCACCGGCGGCACCTCCTCCGGCTACATCACCGTCTCCGACCCCTGCTGGCCCACCGCAAACACCACCACCTCCAACACCAACCTCGCCACCAAGCCCGCGCGCTACGACTCCCCCGCCGGCGACTGGCTCTCCTGGTCCGCCGCGTGCCCGGCCACCTTCTTCGCGGCCTGGATGCAGCAGCCCGCGGACCCCGCCGCGCCAGGTAACTACTCTGCGGTCGTCGACGCCGTGGTGGTGAAGTGCTCGGCGGCCGACACCGCCGCGTGGGTCACTGCGACCGTGGATTCCGCGGGCAACGTGTTGAGCGTGGCAGACGAGACGCCGCTGGGGGAGGAGGAGATGGTGGCGCTGTATGGGCCCGATCGAGACGGCGTGCAGGGCTTGATGGCCGGGTGGCTGAATGCCAGCTATGTGGCGGCCGCCGAGAAGTACTTCAACCTGGGTCTGTCGTGGTATAACACGCATCTTGCGATGCTGCACCCGGATGTTGTTGCGTCGCCGGCGGGGGGGAACTTGACGCATCTGCCGGATGTGGGCGGGGTGGCGGGCGCGCTGGAGGACGTGGTGGGGCGGCTGTATGGGACGAGCTTGCGGCTGTATGCCGCTGAAGTGTTCGGCGTGACGGAGGGGGCGGTGAAGGGGCGGGTTGGGAGGGTGGAGGGGGTTGTGGACGTGGGGGTGGGGGTGTTGGGGGTGGTGGGCGGGTTGTTGCTTGGTATGGCTGCTGTGGTCGGGTGCGTGTATTGGTGTGGGCGGGGGGGGCGGTGGATGGGGCGGGGCGGGGGTGGGGAGGGCGTGGCGCATGCGCCCAGGACGCTGGTGGGGCTGTGGAGCGGGGTTTATGGGAGTGTTGAGGCGCAGCGGGTGGTGGGGGGTGTGAGGGGGGGGAGTGCGAAGGTGAGGGTGAAGGTTGTGGAGGGGCTGGGGAGACGGTGGGGGTGGGGGGTGGGCGGGAAGGGCGTGAGAGGGGGCGTGTTTGTGTATCCGGAGGGTGAGGGCGTGGAGAGGGGGTGGATGTCGTGGAGGAGGGGGGTGGGGAGGACGGAGACGGGGGTGACGGAGGGGGTGACGAGGGTGCGTACGTTTAGGTGGGGGGTGAAGGGGAAGGGAGGTAGATAGCTAGCTGCATACATACAAGGAGATAGATAGCCGGCGCGCCCAGACTGGTATCGGGAAATCGGGGTAATGGGTTAATACTGTACATACATAATTTCATAGCGTAAATGATTTTTCTTCCACATACTAGCCTTCACGCTTGTCCCAAGTTTGCACCAACATCGCTCGCGCCCTCTTCGTTGTCTGTCTCGATCCAGTGCACCCGCGATCGATGGGCGCAAGACTTTGTCATGTACGACAGTACAGACAATACATCACAGCTAGCTATAGGATGATCAGGATAAAAGATCAAAACAGCAAAAAATAGCTCTATTCGAAACGCGCGAGTGATTATCTGTGACCAAAATATCCAACGTCATCGAGTTGATCGATTGGTACGTTGGTAATCCTAGCCCGATACCGGCCAACACACACCCGCGCGGGAGATCGGAAAACTACCTAGGGATATGATTGACTCACCCCCACCGGCCAGCTCACCCTCCTCGAAGAGAACCGGGATATATCCTCTCCATGCATGACGATCAGCGGGGTGACTCGAGGGTATGTCAGAACCTCTCGCAAGGTAGGCACGTACGCAACGATGGCCCAGCTGCCATGCCCCGGGGAGGGGGGGGGGCATATAGTAATGGTCCGGTTTCTGATACACCCACCCCAGCTAACCAACCACTAATATATATCTTGCATGCCTATACAACCGCCGGAACCAACAAAACACCCCACTCAACACCCACCCGAGTGATACCCCATGACCACCCACGTCAATAACCCTAACCCCGTCACCGGGTGATACGTCATGACGCCACTCCCCCGGTCCCTATCCGGCCGCGGATACGCAGGTATAGATATGCAGATGTCTGGTACAAGCCCAAAAGGGAGAGGCGCTAGTGGTCAGGTCGTATCTTACCAGGCGTGGCGTGGGTTTTTGTGTGGCAGGGGGCGTATTGGTGTTGGGAGGTGCATGCATGGGTGCATGAGGTACTGGCGCGGTGATGGGTTTACGGTGCATGGTGAAGAGGCCGGGGTGGGGGAGCAAGGAGCGGGGGTTGGACTCGCTTCTCTGTGGCGTTACTTGAGCGCATACTACTTATTTTCAGATCGACAGCCGAGGGCTCTTGGATACACTCGATTTCAACCCGCACTACTAGGTGAACCCAGGACGTTAGAATAAATGGTAAACCCAGCCATGCCCGGCCCAAATCCACTATATCCGTATTATCCGCTGCAAGAAAGAACGCGGGTTACGTGCGAGATCTTTCCCCAGTGATCAACCGAGGGGTAGTGTAGTGGGTTAGGGTTCTGAATTAACCTCTTTGTGGCTCATGGATTATCACTCGGCTCAACCCACATACTATTCTGCCCTGACCAAATCGAATCCAGATGATTTACCGGAGGTAGCATAAGTCCCTTCGTTCATTCCGGGTCTTCTCACAGTAGTGGGCCCCAGGGAAAGCGGGGGGTGGAATAGGCGGTAAACTAGCTGCTGTTGGTCCGGGTGTAACGCGGGAGTAAGTCGTTCTGATATAGCTAGAAATTAAGGGTCTGCTAGAGAATAACACCAAAGGGATTGCCCAAGTCTTTGTTGGGCGGGTCACAGCGGAGATTGTTTCAATAGGTTAATTCCTACCATGTTCAAAACGAACGACATAAGTTCATAACTCTGAAGGTTGACGATCAGTTGCCTGTATTGATATTAAGGGGAGAAGAGGGATTAGCCCTCTGTTTTCAGTCTTTCTAATGACAGTTAAGCCAAAATGTTGTCTAACTACATATGACGTACGATGAATGTCCCTAGTGGTAGAACTAGCCCGTAGGGTTATTATTATGTGACAATCATGGCCACGCATCCCCATTAGATCTTTTAAGCCAGCAGGAAAAAAAATAGGCAAAAAAAGATCAGCATCTACTAGTTGGAGGTAGTAGGCATGATATTTTCAACGCTGCTCACAGAGCCCGCTGTACATAATGGTATCAAAAGTACAACCGTGAGAGTACGGCTATTGACTGCGTTTACCTGATCAGACTAAGCTCACCTAGCTAGTGGGAGATGATCTTTTTTTTGGCGATCTTTTATTTTCCTTGCAGCGGCGGTGACTTAAAAGGTCTATTACGGGTGTTTGTATGGGTGTAATCTCCGCCTAAAACCCATTCTCAAGTATTGATCGGGGCTAGGAACCTTTTTCACCAACAACAAAAAAAGATGCTCTAGTTGGGGTTTGAACCCAAGTCTCCCTACGGTTTTATAAGTTTTTAATGTTTTTGGTGAGGGCGTGCTAACCAACTGCACCACCAGAGCTTGAATATATATATATCTGGGTGGCCTATAACCTGGACGGGATTACATAGTAAGGCACACGAAATACTGTATAGACAAAAGGTCTCAAGGCTTTTTTTTCTTGGGCCACGCAAGGGAGATAAGATTTGTAGATGGGCACGACCGACGTCCCGAAACACTGCAGAGTGGTGTAAAAGAGAGAATTTTTCAAAGGGCAGATCCAATAACGTATGTAATTAAATTCAACGACTCATACAGACCTCAAGCCTAGATTTAGGCTTGATACTACAAGGCCTCGCTACTTTTGTATAGTTGAAAGTTGAAACTAGTAGTGATGGTCACAAAACAAAACAAGACGATCTTGGGGATGTTTCGTTTTTTCTCGTGAATTACAGGGGGGGTCTCAGAATTGCCAATACCTGACTGAGCCATTATTGAAGGCTCGAGACCTATTCCTTCGGTCGTAATAAAGTTCCTACAACAACGGTGGAAATTCGAAATATCTCAACAGTCACGGACACTATGCTTATTGCAGATGGCTCAAAAGAAAAAAAGGCCTCCCCCGAACGTCCCTGTGCAGTCGAATCTTTGTTGGAAGAGCTTGGTGCACCCCTAGGTGAAAAAACCGGAAGAAAATATTGGTCCAAAAGCAGCACAATATCGGCTGTTACGACCCAGGGGATAGCTAGTGTTAGGTGTCAAATTATGTCCGCCCAGGTAAGTAGATATTTCAAATTTGCCGGCAGGATTCGCTAGGGTTAGGGTTATATGATTAACCTTCATAGCAAGCAGTAGGCCTAGGTTTTGATGCTGATACCAAGGTCATAGTCAATCTCTCGCATATTTCCAAGTCTCGAGACCAGACTAGTATTTCTTGTTTTGTCTTTTACCCATCACTAAGATTCACGAGGTTCAGCTTAAGACCTCTAATGTGGTCTCGAGAAATTGCGAAAAAACGACTGTAGAGTCCTTTCACCCCGGCACCTCCTCTCTCCGTGAGAGGCGAGGCGAGATGAAAAATCCTATTTTGTACCCATCACTTGTACCCGGGATACGAGCGATAGACCCCGCACTTAACCTCTAAAACACACCCAGATATTCTTGGTCGGGGTTCCATTTAAGACAATTGGTTGGGCCAAAATACTCTATCCGCATAATCTCGAATGGGTGCATATTTCCTTTGCCACCAATTTCGTCATCGAGTGACACCTCATGACTCCCGGCAACCATCGATTACTTGAACCAGGCAGTCTCGTCAAGGCCACCGATTATCATCATTTTCTGTTGATTCTTTAGTGTCCGAACTCTCCAAGAACTAACCCGGGCATATCCATTCCGGTGCCTGCGTTAGTGGAATATATGCATTTAGAGTCTCATTTGTTTTACGTTGTCATCGACGCATCGGGCAAGTATGTGTCTTCATCTTCCACCAGGACCTCATTAGCTTTAACAATACACCTTTGATTCTCGGATCTGGATCTTTGAGCTTTTTCAACAACCTTTCGTTCATTTTCTACTGTTGGATATTTGGGTTTTCAAATGAGGTTGGACGGGCATAGGTAAGTATTCGAACGGGTACGGGTGAGCTGTCATGATGAAGGCACCTGTCTAAAATCAACTATACAATCCATGACTAGATAGCTAGTTAGTCTCTTTGCCAAGATTAGAAAGTCACATAACTGTCTTGTCCTCGTCCTGCCTTTTCAACATTAACCATGAACGCTATCCGAGTGATACCCCATGAGTATGAGTGATATTCCTTGATTATGAGTGATATCCCATGATTAAATCGACACCTCTTTCTGTACTCCTCGAATTTCTTGCCGGGTTCTTTTAGTACAAGACCCTCTATCCGCCACTTATCAGCGGGGTATATAAATGACTCCACTTCGCCATATCCATGCGACCAGATAATTTCTAGCCAGGGGTTCATGAATAAATCACCACCCGTACTACCGCCAGAGCTCACCCGGCACAAAACCTGCAAGGAAAAGAAACTCAGAGATATTGGGATAAGCAGGTGATACTCGATCCTTATTCCTATACCACTGATTCCGAAACTGCTACAATCGGGATTTGGCACAGTTTCCTAAAAATGCCTGGAAATTTCCCCCGACCCCATGCCACCCCTCAAGCAAGCAACCTACATGTAGAAAGTTTATCGAGGGACCTACCCCGTGTTGTTCCGCGTGCTTCCCCACTGTATGTGTTGTTCTTCTTCGGCCGACCGAACCGAGTGATACTCCATGTCGCGCCCGTCATTTGCCTGCAGTCTACAGACCCATATAGTTCCCTTCAAGCCGCAACTAGAAGCTGTATAGCATCAAGTCCGGCAAACACGCCTGAGTAAGATATTTGTACGATGTATATACACATTCAAAATGAAGTATCTATCATTCCCGGCCAGAAAGAGCCAGGCTTAGTGTCCAACCCCCCTAACCCGGTATCTGTGTGCTTTGACTTGAAGTAGTACTTTGCGCATTTCTTCTCCGCTTGACACATATATACATAAGTAGCTTCACAATATCAAACGGTACTAGCTAGTACCTACCACGCTCTAGAACCCAATGTTGAGTATATATGTGCTGGAACTTAAGTGTGGTGGCCTGTTAGTAGGCCGTCTCTAGGCGCTTGATCTTGACTCATATTTTATAAGCTCTAACGCTATTACCACTCCTAAGGTCTTTTCACCCTTTGATGTATTAGATAGTTTGTAGTTATTAGACATGAGGGGTCCTGTACCCCCTTAACCACTCCGCACTCCCGATACCCAGCCGCACCGCCGATACATAGCCGCGCCCCCGATACCTAACTCCCCTCACCTACGCCTCTCCCATACAACCCCGTAATCTCGCCTGTAAACCTGCCCAGACCCCCACCACGCCGCAAAATAATAATACAAACCCACCTCCCGGCCGAGCCAAAATACCAAACAACCAACCACTACTCCACCATGAATTTAACAAATCAAAAAACCACTACTCCACCCACTCCCACATCCACACCCAACCACCCACCACCCCGCCCGTGCGGACATTCCACTCGCCGTACACCATCACCAGAGATCCCGTTTAGAGTAACCAACACCAGCACCATCCCACCACCATGTAGCCAAGAACGCCACCATGACCATGTTTTCCCAAATCACAGGATGTCACCCGTGCATCCATCTTCAAAGCCAACTTTAACCCACCAACTCACCGCAAAACCGATACGTACCCAAAATACGAACCCCCGAAAGTACTCCAGTCAAAGACCCCGCTGGCCAAACCCGGGGCCAGCTGGTTCTCGGGGGAAGGGGCCGTTTGCGAAGCCGGGTGGTATAGGTACAAAACCCTGCTGCGTGATGTGGGCTGTTAGTTATGCGAATGAGGTAAGATGGCCACAAAGAACGAGAACAGGTAGATACAGATGACTTTCCCAGTGCTCTCGCGGCAAGAAGCACGACTGGCTAACTAAGTAAGTATATGTAGCGCTGACTGCTTGATATGACAGGGAGGGGGGTGTAGGTTCCGTGCCTGCACCTGGCCCGCGCGCACCTGGCCCGCGCGCACCGAGCCATAGACTGTGATGCGCACCCGGGGTGCGATGGAAAACAAAACCTTAACTTTCAGTATACGAACCAGGGGGGCGAGTGGTCTAGAGGGAGGCTGGTCACAAAGAGCGGCAGCGCAGGCAGATATACTGGTGTATTTTGCAATGCTCTCGGAGAAAGAAGTAAGGCTAACTAATTCTAGTAACTAATCACAATTAAGTATATGCAGCGCTGATTGATTTGTTGATAATCGGATAAAATATTTATGCGCAGCGGGGGGAAGTTGCAAAATCCGATACTACTACTCGTGCACATCGATCGAGTCACACTCTATGATGCACCCCCGGGGTACGATGAAAAAAATCCTTTTGCTCTCCCGAAGAGGAGACGAACGCGGACCATAAAGATGAAGGAGAGCAAGTCACAAAGAACGATGGATCAGGTATAAGATATACGATATATATATATATATATTTTTTTCCAGTGCTCCCAGAGCAAAAAAAGTACAAGACCAGCCAGGAACTAACTACAAGTAGCCAGCTCCGGCAACAACGACCCACAAAGCTACAAAATACATTTTCATTTTTTCATTTTTCCTCCACCACATAAGAAACCACTCCTTTTCACACACACACAGAGAGAAGATCCCAGCTAGATCAGATACAAAAAATCGCGCCCAAGCCCACAAACCACTTAGTAGGTGGTGTTCAAAGCACCCCACTTGATGTTGGAGAACTTGACGCTCGAGTTGGGGGCGGAAGCCTCGATCTCGGAGGGGACACCGGTGGTGGTGGCACACTCTCCTCTCTTGACACCGGGGGTCGACGAAGACTTGTCCAGAGGGTAGGAGCTGTCGAGCCAAAGCATGTGTGCCGCATGGTCATCCCAGATACTCATACTCAGAACCATTCCGCCGTTATTCTTGAAGGCAGCACCCATCTTCTTCAACTTACCCTTGGTGGCAAAGTCGTTGGTGTCGCCGAAGGCAGTCTTCTGGGCCGCACAGAAGGCGTCGGTGATGCTGTTTCCGCTGACGGTGGAAATGGTGCTGGCACTGTTTTCGTAGACAACACCGTTCTGCTTGTACTTGCGCTTGATCTCGATCAAGTCACCATTGGCAGTGCCATCGGAGGTGATGAACTGGGTGATGACGGTAAACTTCTGGCTGGTGTTGATGGTCTTTCCAATACCGTAGAAGCCGGTGTTGCCCATACGGTAGCTGTTGAAATCGCATCCGTCTTTGTCACAGATACCGCCGTAGCGGTTGTCACCATCACCGCACTCGGTTCCGCTGCAGCGGGTCTGACCGGTGGATGTGCAGGGGTGGGGAGTGTAGGCAGTGGCCATGCTGTTGGCTTCCCAGATGTCCATCTCGTCACAGCAGGTTCCATAACGACCGGATCCAGCGTTCGCGTCGGTCGAAGAGGGGGTCCAGTCGAGGGTGTTGGCCTGGACGGAATGTTAGTTTGGGAGGGAAGAAGAGTTTGGGGTAGAAGAAGGCTTACCTCGCCGTTGATGAACTTGATATCGTGGGGGCACTGGGCATCGCAGTATCCGGTACCGTACTTGGCACCAGCAGTGTTGCTGGGGTACTTTGCTGCACCACCGTCCGCGTCCATGCCCGAGAAGTAGAGAGCACCGTTCAATCCACAAGGAAGGTTGCTGACATCGACCTATCCCACCATCCGTAATCAGTCTCCATATATCACTAAGCACCAACCCCATAGGGATACTCACATCGAAGGTAAACTCTCCACCGAGAGGGTTGATCATCTGATACTTGGTATCATTCTCCATGAGGTATACACGACTTCCGACGTTCTTGTTTGTCCCCGTGGTAACAAACTTCAGGGTGAGCTCGGTGCCGGTCGAGGCGATACCATAGACACCAGTGTAGTCCGCTCCATCAAGGGCACAGTTGGTCGCACAAGTGGTTGGGTCCGGGCACAAGGCAGTGTTCCAGGCGCTACCAGTGTAGCAGTTGGTGTACTGGTTTGCCGCGGTAGTGTGGAGCCAACGCCAGTTGCTGTCGAGCACAACCTTGGTGGACTGGGTTGTGCACCCGCTGCTCGTGCACTTTGAGGAGCTGAGCGACGGGTGAGTCTCGGTAGTGTAGGTTCCGACCTTCTGAGAAGCCGTGAGGCGGAGAAGGGTGGCGAGGATAGCGATGTAGGTGGAGTACTGCATTGTGACGGTGCCGGCGATGGTGCTGGTGGTGGTGGATGTGATGAAGTGAGTGAGAGGGGTGAGGAGTGATGTTGAGGGGGTGGGAGATGGAGCTTATATACTGATTTTCGCCAGCCCAAATCTCTCCTTCCCAACACCCTTCCCCCCCTTGGTTCCTTCCTTACGCTTCAAGACGAGGAAGAAAAAAAGATCTCCCCGGTTTTACTGCTAGACTCCCCTCCTCCCCTCCCTTACTACTCACTCAGACGCCCCCAAAATGCACGAGATGAAGAAGATGAAATTCTCCGAGTACCACAGCAACAGGAACAGACGGAGCGACGGCTCGACGGCGCACGGTCCCGTCAGCGCCAGCCAGCCCCACCCACGATATACATACGGGCTAGCTCCACGATGCAGGAACAGTATGGAGCACGCGGGGAAAACGGTCTGTCTCAGATTTGAGCCATAGTGCGCTCAGATGCTGTGATACGTTACATCACATCGGCAGTCATGAAGTGACGACGGAAAAACCGGTGCGGGGGATATGAAGGGGGGCGAAGACATGTAGAAAGGAAGATATTATTGGGCTATAGACTGCAGAGTACGTAAGGCAGAGTAATGTGAGTAGAGAATTAGAGTGCCACCTGCAGAATTAACGTACTCTACATAGTATCTTTAGTTAGCCTAACCCCTACTAAGGCGCAAAACATCTCCTGAGATGATACGGTAGAGAAGAGTAGACAGCTAACCATCAAAACGTTAACTATAACCAGCACCGGAGGAGACGGGTTCGTGAATCCAATAACACTACAGCCCACATCATATCCAGACACAGGCCCAGGAACACCCTTCCTCCTCCGCCGGGTGAGCCCAGTCATCGTACCGTATCGTACCAGCAGCTGGGCACCATACGCATCCCCGGCACCTTTCCCTTCAAGGAGAATTTCCTTTTCTCCATCATGTGCCCGAAGTTCCTGGCTGTGTATGTAGGCACAATCTCACGATAATGCACTGACGATGTTCGCCACGCACCCCGGAGTCCCCGCGCCCCACAGCCTATCCCCCGTGCCCCTGTACTCAATCAAGAAGCTTAGCCCAGCCACATGCAGCCTTAATACTCTCACATATAGCCTTCCCGGATAAAACCTATACGCCGTCGGATTAACTTCTTTTCGGGAGCGACGGGCCTGGCTGGCAAGCGGTGACACGAGAAAGTAGAATGCCCAATATATTTCACCAACGGAGACACGGCCCTTTCCCGGTGTGGTGTTGTGGGTTTGACGATACCCGTCCCTTGGTGGTTGCAGGACCCACCTTCCTGTTTGGGCGAGCAACTGCAACTCATAGCCTAAACAGGGCGCCGCTTTCCCGGGTAGCAGCTTAAGGTTAAATCTGCACATCTTCATAATTCTACCCTCTGCAAGGACCCTACTACAAAATCGTCTACCGCGCGCAAAACCCGAGAATACTCTGTCGCGAGACCAGCAGGGGGTGGAATAGGGAGACCAATTAAACCATAGGCATGCAGGTAGGTAGAGTAAGTAGGTTCTGGTCCAGAATATCCCCCCTGCTGCATTCAGCGAGCTGTTCACACATCCTGGGTTAATTTGCTGAGCGTCGCAAAGACGGTCCGATGGGCGTTGATTGTTGAGGTGTGTGTAACATTTTGTGCAGAGGAAACGCTATGGAGTGAGACTGCGGGGTTTGGTGGCGTGGGTACCTACATACATGGACCAGGGTCTGACAGCCTTGGCAGCTCGGCGGAACGTTTCTTGGCGCTGAGGTCGGATGCGATGTGGTGTAAGGCACCAAGACCATGCCATTGGACGAGAGAAGATATTAATAGGACTACAAGAGTTTGGACACAATTAAGGACAGTTTTTTATGTCACCTGTTCCTCGCCATAAGTCCAGAGTTGTACTATACATATGGTTCCGCAAGGCTTACACAACACCATCGCAGGAACAGAACTTCAGGGTAGGGGTTTCAAGCAATGAGTTTGCGCGGGGTACATCTTTTATAATGAAAGAATGTATTTTACCCACAACGCATCAAGAACTAACGCGCCTGGCTGTGCAGATGTACCCAGTACTATGATCATAGGACTTAATTAAACTACAGAAATTAGTTCGGATCATTGTGGTTCAAACCGCCGCACTTCTTTGTGTCACGTACAGCCCCATGGTAGAATTGTTGTGGAAATGCGCTAGTGGCGTGCAGGATCTCTGTTCTCGACGGAGAATTGGGCGGTAGCCTTTGCCGGAAGCCCTTGATCGGCAGTCCCTGTTTTACCAGAAGATGTGCGTATTATCCTGTGCGACAGTGGTGAATCATGAGATAGCACTCGGAATTTGAAGGAATTGGGTTTGGCTATCATTTTGGAGCTGGCGTGGCGCGAGATTACCCATACAGTCTATGTATCCATCTTAACTACACTTCGCAATAAGAGGCCTCGCAATAAGAAACACCCCGCGGTAAGAAACAGCGCATAGGGTACACCGTACACGCTAACCACAGTCTTACTTGTTACAAGAAATGATAGATATTTTGTTGAGAAACGAAAACTGTCTGCACCTTGGCATTTCTTCTGGAGAGATGTACTACCGTTTTCAGACAAGTACCGCGTTTGTAGTGTCATGTAGTCGATTGTTTTTTCTTCCTTCTTTTTTTTTTTTTTTTTTTTTTTTTGCTGGGTGTTCTGACGAGCTGACGGGAATGCCGCGCTCACGCGGCCCTCCACAGAAAGGCCACAGTAACAATCAAGTTAGTTCCAGGACATACTCACCAGTGCTACAATAAAAAAGCCTCCTCTACTTCGAAGTGAAAGAGAAACCCATACATCTAAGCACCCATTCCGGTAACATTACTGAATCTAGACCATTACCAATTTTCAGGTCGGCCCGGGCATTCCCCAACTCACCTCCAATAAACAGTGCAATTGATCCGTATCCAGCACACTCTTTTATCCATATTAATCTCCGGCGGGTGCATATTTACCAACCGTATCTTTCCCATACTCGGAAACCAATTATGGTATCCAGCAGCATTGTCGGGTGATACCTCATGACCCTTGGCACCACTTTCGAATCTAACAGGTTATTCTTCTTTTTCCCAGCTTACCCGGGTTTCCCTTAGTACCCAACCCGGGGCTAAACTGGGTAGCTCGCGCGGTACAAATAAAATAAATTTAACAGATCCTCGATTTTTTCTTTTGCGGGTCGGGGAATTTTTTCGAACCCGGATATGGACTTACGTATTTTTGCCAAGGGTCTTTCACGTGGTACCGCTTTCTGAAGGCTGTTGTGTTTTGCTATTTACAGAAGAAGATCGGGAGATACTGGAGATAATAGGACCGTGGGTGCGTGGGGTGACACGATGGTTTGTGACCGCACCCATTAGCTTAGTAACTTGTCCAACCCTGACCCTGACCTTGGCCCTGAGCCTGAGCCTTAGCCCGCAGTTCCTATGTGCATATGATGATGGTTGTATTGAGGAGTAACCGCGTCACGTCAGTTCATATACAGGTTATAATTAACATTAACACCATCGCCTCTGCCAAGACGCTAGCGTGACAACCACGCTACTTGAACGGGAGTCAGGTGAAAATGCTTGGCGAGTATGGCACAAACCAAGGCGCTTTGCGCTAAAACCAATTTTCCTTCCCATGAAGTAGGCCTAACGCCAATTACAAGGGAATACAGTTTTGTCTTTTTATTTTCTCCCGTGGGTATGTACTGGCACTGCTGAAGAGTAGGCTATATGTAGCTTATTGGAATTCTGGTCTTGTCAGCGCCGAGACTCATAGAGTTCAGGCCAGAGTCATGCGGCACAACCGATGAACCTCGAATTTTCCAAAATCTCAGTTAACCTACCCATAATTAACTTCTCGGCCATTTATCCCATCAATTTGAGGCTGTAGAGTACGGTCATGAGGCATTGTTGCATTTCCACACAGGTACCTTAATCTACTAGGTCCGCGACTCCTGATTGATACCTGTGATAATTCGGGAGGAGAGCCTTCTCTCGCTTCAGTCCAAGATATCTTGCTAATACCTCTCCTCCTTGCAACTACAAACTGGCTTTCTCTCCAGGCTCTTTTTAGCCTCGTACATAACACGCTACGCCATCCATTCGAAGGACATTTTAAAGATAAGCGCAGGTTTCGCAGTGGGTCGGCCCGGGTATGCTAAGCCGGGTGATACTTCATGATCCTTGGCACCCACTACTTCTTCCAGTTTACCCGGGTCAACCCCTGGCTAAACTGAAAAGCTCGGTGGGGAAACTTGTAGGATCAGGCTTCGTTGATGCTGAAACATACTGTATCATATGAGGACCGAACATATCATACTGGGCACTCAATATCTGCAGTAGTAATCTACAGGGAGTGCAGTCTCGTGACACGTATGCCGGCCCCAGCTATATATACATGCTCTCTATGGTCATGGCGGTGAGATAGCGCTAGGCGCGGACGAGCCACAACTGAAACGTGTTGCTTCCCGTGGAATAAATACGAGCATGTTGAGCTTCACCGCGCGAGAGCGCAAACTTTTTCAGATTATGCCCAGTACCAAATATCGATCTGCAATAGTTACTGCCGAATAAGAAATTGTGCAAGACTTCCAAATTAAAAATCGGAATCCCAACTGTTATCCCGTAGCAATACCATGACCTTGCAGCTATCGCCAAGGCCGTTCTCGGCCTCATCCGACGCCGCGTCTACGAACGCTGCCAAGCCTATCCCTTAGACCGTCAGGCCCAATTGTAATTGGAGGCATCTCACGCAAAGTGGAAATCGTGATGTATGGCACGCTGATTGGAGTTGCAACGACAGATCACCACGAGTTTCTGTGTGGTGAATTATACGTTGCATCACAGACACGCATATGATCCTTATGTTTAGCATATCACGATTTCCAGTCCGCGTTAGATGCCCCTAATTACAATTCGGCCTGACGGTCTATGGGATAGCTCTATATATTTATTCGCACTCATATGACACAGATACCGCAAAACCCCCCACA